AGAAGGAAAGTGCTCGTCTCGTTGCAGAGACAGGAAATGAACAAATGGAGCAGAAGAAGTGAGAGATTAAATCACAGTTTCTGTTCAGCATGGGACAAAAACATATGAAATACATTTTTAGGTTTGACAAACAATGCTTTTGATGTCATCCTGATCCGGTTTTTGACTGTTTCATCTCTTGGACAGACCAGTCAAGAGACCACTTGTTTTGGTAAAAAATTTAGTATCAACTTGAATTTTTATCAAGTCATAATTAGGCTCGATCGAGGAGGCTACTGAGGGAAATAAAACATATGAGACAATAATTGATAATAATAAGGATATTATAGAATTGGCTTCGTATATAATCAAGCAGGTGGATTGCATGCCATCACCAGGTTTTGTGACGGACCTTTGCTAACTTGTTGCCTGAGCATATGTTCCACTCTACGACCGTTTGAACGTCCCGGTCGCGAAACTTATTACAAGAACCGAAAATGGGTTCACCGTGCTTCAACGAATGAGAATAGGTTTTGTCATTTCGGTCTTGTGTATTGCGTCAGCACAGCAGCCATCGTTGAGAAGGTGCATCTCGGTGTGGTGGAGACCGGAACAGCTGTTTCTTTGACCGTGTTTTGGCAGGTTCCGCAGATATTCATACTTGGTGCAGCTGAAGTTTTCTACTGTGTAAGGACAGCTTGAGTTTTTCTATGGTCAGGTACCAGACTCGATGAAGGAGTTTGTTTTGGGCTCTGGGATTGTTGGCTAATGCGTTTGGGAGTTACTTGAGCTCGTTGATATTCACGGTGGTGACGTATCTAACGACCAAGAACGGTGGAGATGGGTGGATTACGGATGATCTCAATGGTGGACGTCTTGATTACTTTTGTGTAGGGGCTCCATAAACACTAGACCGGCCGGCCCGAACACTCTGCATTTATAGAAAATTCTTCAAAACTTGCAATTATGGTTTGATGGATAAGAGAATTTATACAAAGCCTGTGAAGTGTGAAGGGAGAATTATTCCATGTCCCTCTCCTTCTTCCTTCTGACCTGCCATTTTACAACCTACACAATCAATTTTGTGTTGTTCTTCAATTATCTCTATCGTTATGATTACAACCATGTGGCCTATAGAACTTTAACTTTCTCTTGATTTTCTACGTGTTATGATTTCCCTTTGTTTGAGTTAGAACACATAATTCGATATATTTGGACAGGGAAGCCAAAATAATGGGATAGGAGGTGTTTTTTTAAAAGGAAAGGAAAAATTAAGGGTTGTTTGTTTGGTCCTTCCTACTAAGCTTAGTTATGTACATCCACTACCATAAATTTTATTCACATTGGCACATCTATACTATTGTATATTTTGATTAGTAAGAGTAAGAAAAAGAGTAACATATTCTTTTGGTAAAAAAGTTTTGTTTTTGTTAAATCGTTTTGAGAAGAAAAGTTATGTATTAAATATGTTATTTTGGTGACCCACCTATTCTCAAATCACACTTTTAAACAAACCCTCTCTAGGTTTTTTTCTCTCTCGGTTGATTGCACTTTTCTATTATTATATTTTTCGAATTTAGATCGTTCGTGCATGTGCTATATGTGATTGAAATCAATTAAAGTGTTAAACAACGGTTCGGTTCGATGAGAAATTAATTTGTGGTCAAATCTAATAAAACGGTTCGGTCAGAAATTTGACCAATCAAAATAGAAGTTAGCTGTTATGATCATTCAAAAATTTCAACAGTCCTATATTGTCAAGCTGCATGTGTATATATATATACAAATCCACAGGCACAAATATGCATCACTTGAAGAAACTTATTGAATGTTTTTTTTCAAAAAAAAAAACTTCTTGAATGTTGGATTGTAGTAAAAGCCATGAATCATGGACATGCAGTCAATTTCACATTAACTTCATTTTGGATCTACTTGGGAATTCATTGCATGTTTGATTTTCGTTTTCATAGAATTATTTCAGAAAGTAATTAACTAATGTCGCGACATGTAACCACCGAATCAATTTCGTCGCACCAACTTTGTATGTAATAAATTGCTGTAGGCTAAGTTCAATCAGTGTAAGCCTAACCAATCAGGAACTTAAATTTTAAGTCTCCTGCCACCCGCACCTCGTCTGATGAATTACAGATGCGGTTGAGACTATATAAAAGGCATACTTGAATACTTTTATCGGATCCAGGTGTCACAAGTGATGCTATAAGAGTAAAGGCTATATATAGTCTTGGGGAGGTGTCATGCTTGCAAGGTAACTTTTCGGAAGAGAGGGATCCTTGATGGACGTTCCCTAACAAACAGTATTTGAGACATCTAGGAGAAACATGCTCCAACAACTAACAAGTGATCATCTTACATAGATAATAGGTAACTCGTATGTCTTTTGTGTGTAAAGGCCATAGATAAATATTTTACTTCATTTTCGCACAATTTACAATGATTTTTGAAACCATAAATAAAAGTTGTCTTTGGCTTATATATATGTCGTACATATTGCACATGTGTATATATCATGTATACGACACTTCGGCTAGATTTTAGGTGCAACGTGAAGAAAACCATAGCGTATTTTAAGTGTTACAACAGGTCTTTATCTTGAAAGTCAATAAACATCACCTTGACATATTCTTACATTAGAATTCGTGATTTATATGGGGTTAAAGGTCTACGTTGGATGTACGTAACCTCTAAAATCACCTCTAATTGATTTTAGTATTACGGCTTGGTTTGATTTTTGTAGAGTGTTATACATGCAAATTTTTTGGTCGGTTTGTTGGAATCTTGCATTGGTAGTTTTGTTGAATATCTAGGATCTAAATAACATACAGTTGAAAAAGGTATGATTGATACACCTTAAGAAAGTGTGTAAAATAAGTTAAACATGCCCAATAAGTTACTCCTATTGCAAATAAACAAATTGATTGATAAAAATGATCTAGATAACTTTGTTTACTTTAAAATGATGACACTAATCATCTTACGAAAACATGCACTCTTTGCTTAGTTTGATCCTACATGGACGTATTAACATTTACACCCCAAAAAAACATAGAATAAACCTAGAAGGAAAAGTAATGTATTTATTGTAATAAAAACTAAGAGTCATGACAAACCGGGTCTACGGTCAAGAAGATGTGTACCAGTACAGCGTACATACCCATTTGGCCATTTCGTCATCGACGACATTTACGTCCCACCTTCCTACTTTAAGCAACCTCCTACGTTTTTCTCTTCCTCTTCTTCTTCTTTTTATTTTTATTTTTATTTTTTTTCTCTTTAACAAATTAACAATGTGGGTTCCGAATTACATTGAAAGTAAAAAAGGAACCGATATAAATTGTAACGGGACTACTTACCCCATGCTAATGGTCTGCGTACGTGTATGGTTAAATACCATATGTTGATGGTCTTCCTATGTGCTCTGAGATTTTTTATAGGGAATTTAGAGCTAAAAAATACAGTTTTGAAAAGCATTTCATTTCAATTTGCGGATTTTATATTCTTGACGATTCGGCATCGTCCATTATAGTTTACGGACCCCCTATACATTGTGTATTTATTGTGATATTAGCTAATCTATAGCAATTTAAGACATTGTGTATTTTACTGAGAACTGTTAGGGAAAATCAAGAAATCCTTTGAAGGAAACCAGTAACTTTGATGGGGCTACGACGTAGGGAAATGATTTTGATTTGTTTTTAATATGCAGCAAGAAATCAGAAAAGGTAAGAGGACAAACTGGAAAGAAGCAGAAGCATAGGGGCTTGTGAGAATATCATTACATTTTCTTAATAAAGATTGTGTGCAACTATTCTGTCATTCAATGTTATATTATGTCTCAGAAGGTTTTCATATTTTAAAATACTGAAAAATGTTTAACTAATTACATTTCATAGTCTGTTTTAATAATTAGTTAGATTTATTTTTCTTAAGTAAGTTTATTAATCTTTGTTTTTAAATATAATATTTTATCATATAAAATGGGAGGCGTATTAGAGAAGAACAAAAAAAATTAATGGATTGAGATGGGCCAAAAAATTAAAGGGAGAAATTAGAGGAATGAGTCAAAATTTTATAAGTAAGGACCATTAAATTTTTATTATTAACTTTTTTGTAATTATCGGGAAGTGAATACTAACAACATGAGAAAAACAAAATAAAACGAAGAGAAAATAGGAAACTTTTTAAAAGAATGATGATCTATGGTCAAATAGCAGTTGGGCTATTCAGTTTTTTAATAATCTGGTCTAAAAAGCCCTATGATGAAAAAGAAGTTTTGACACCGTGATGTAAACTTCTTCATTTGGGTACATCCCAAATCCCAATAAGGCAATTCTTGTAAGCAATTAGGATTGAACGAAACAAAAGCAAATATTCTGCCATAAACAACTTTTTGTTACACATATACTGTATATCACATTAATTTTGTATGTAGACTAGTTTTCAAAGTTTACAAATCTTCTAATTTTTATAAAATTTTAGGGTAACCGTGATAAAAAAAACTTCCAAGAAAAACCAAAATCAAAATCTCTAACCTCTTTTACCATTTCTCTGGATAATAGTTGCATGACAACTTTTCTCCAACAGGAGTGGTCCATGGAATATTGATAGCAACCAAAATTCAAAAAAATCCTTGAAAAGCTATTTTCTACTAATGCATGCAAAGTCAAATGGATGATAAATTTGCGTTGAATGTATTATATTATGTTAGGTCAAAACACATGTCACCTCAAACTATATGAGTATAACAACATTCCAGCTGGTTACTAATTATAAAAATAAAATATCCCATATTTCTTCTTTCTGTTTTGCTCATCCAAGAAATTACTTATCATATCATAATTTCTGAATTTTTATTTTTCTTTAGCTTTTGATACACACGTACATATATAGTATAAATATTCACATTGTACAAACTCAAACACAATATAAAGCACGAGTTCTTCTAAAAGAGACAAAAGCGAATAGAAGGAAAAAATAAACCTTTTTTTTTCTGAATAAAAATTCAGAAACCTTTCATCTTCTTTTTTTTTGAGCAACTCCTTTATCTTTTATAAAAACAGAAAAGTTCGTCCTTATTAATCTTTAACCTTCTCCACTCGCAGAAAATCTGGATTCATTTTACGGTTCTTCTTCTTCACATCTTCACCACAAGAAAGAGAAAATTAATTCAGATAAATCAAAATAAAATATTAGGGTTGTCGTGGGCTTATATCTAAATGGGTAGATGCGGAAGGAGCAGCGACGGAGGGGTTAGTGGAGTTAGACCGTACGTACGGTCTCCTGTACCTCGCCTGAGATGGACGCCGGAGCTTCACCAGAACTTCGTCCACGCCGTTGATATGCTCGGTGGTCAATACAGTCAGTCTTGTCAAACCAACTTTTATTTCTTGCTGCTTTTTTTTCCCTTTTGAAAAATCTTATCACCCGCATCTTCAAGATTTAAATGTTTGTATTTTTGGGTTTGAATGAAACAGAAGCGACTCCAAAACTTGTTCTTAAGATAATGGATGTAAAGGGACTAACAATATCACACGTCAAGAGCCATCTCCAGGTAAAAAAAAAAACTGATGAAATATTTCATTTTTATTATTATTGTCTACAGATGCTTATAATAATTTGAATATTTAAAACGTTTCTTATATGTTTTGATCATACCGCAGATGTATAGAGGATACAAACCCACTCTTCTTGGGAGATCAGGTAATAAATTTAGATATATTTGGGATACAAAAAAATAAGACAGTAAATGACACTTATAACGCCTTAGCTCAAGATTATGACAGTTAACTTCAGACTCCAACGATAAGCATTAAACTCTATATGTATAAATTTAAGTCTCGTTAGACCATTGTCATACATATACATACGGAAATTCGGCTATACAGTTAGTGTCGAATTCCCACCATTCACATCAAAACTGTACCGCATAAATGTAATTTTCACCAGGCCCATTGTCATAAAATATAGTAAATGCTGGTGAAATATTTATTAAAACAAGGAATTTTTTTTTATCATGGTCTTGTAGGTAAACATGTGCTTTTTTAATTTATAGGGAAAAAAAACGAAAATGTGAAGAGAATATTCATCATGGTCAATTAAATTATTAATGTTTTTATCATATATTTTTGGGCGACAAAAGAGAGTTCATCATCTTCAAGAAGAAGAAGACAAGACAATGAAGATCATCTTCATGACAACTTGTCTGAACACGCAAGGAATGATTGTCTTTTGGGTTTTCACTCTATCAACTTTGGGTAATTTTATTTTAATTTTCTTCATTTTACTTTTTGGAAGAAATGGAAAGGGAATATTAATTTGTTTCTGACAATGCTTTTAGTTTTATTCCAGAAAATAGGTATGCTATCATACAGTTTTGTTTGAATATGAATTGTCGAATTTATTTAAATTTTGCTTTTCTCCTTTTTTGTTTGGGGAGAAGAGGGCAGACCTCAGGGGCTGATAATGATGACGATGACTTTCTTAACATCATGAGCATGGAGAGAACGAAGACATTTGCAGGCATTGGCGAGTCGTCCATCAAGTTTCAGTCTAATCACTTTCTCGAGGTAATAAAAGTATATCCAATTTCATTATATGGTTTCATAAATAGCCGTTACGAAAAGTTACATCATTAGTAAAAAAATAATTAAGACTCAGATTAACACTCATTATATAAAACCATTGAGCATTGTAATGGCAAGATTAGAGGATACGCATGCACTAATAATTTTTAATACATTAATACTATGCCACTTAGTTTTTAGACAAAGACTTACCATTGTATGGGTAATAAATAAGGCATCATTATCTAAGAGCTCGGCTATATACTTCTCAAGTTTCAAAATATTTTATAATTAAATATAAAATAATTTGTTTATATCTTAAGAAAAACCTTTCATAATAATACTCTTAACTATCAGATATTGTTGGATGGTGAAAATTATCGGATCGGATCAGCCTAGTTCTTTGATTTTGTTGATTTATATAGAAGAATTCGTACATTAACTGCAATACCAACTTTTATTATTTCTTTGACATTCTCAAATATGTTGTCATTGACTAATATGCATCAAATACTATTTACCTATATCTTTGTATATTAGCTACCCTAAAATAGTCTTATCTATATATATAGGCCAAGTTTCTGATATTTTCATAGAGATATTTATTATGTCCCATCAAAACGACATTCCTGTCAATCAATCTTGATAATAAAACTACCGTTCCTATAACCTAGAGAGCTTCTATTAAACAACAAACCCATGCATTGTGGAGATTCTTTTAACAACTAAAACGTTATAGTATCAGAAACTAAGAACTTATGTCTTTGAGCTTATTTAAGGCTAAGAGCACGAAGAACAGTTGGAAAAAGGAAAACGAAGAAGAATTATCGCTGTCTCTGTCGTTGAATCATCCTCATAATTCTCAGCAACGTTGGAGAAGCAATGCGTCATCGTCACTTAGTGAAACCAGCGAAGCAGTTTCATCTCCATTCATTTTCAAGGATTGTTTTGCTTCTTCGAAGATTGATCTTGATCTTAAACTCTCTTTTTCCTTCTCGACTTCGTAGCTGAATCTTTGTTCTTTTGTTTCCATTGTTAGTGTAGTGAGCACATTCAGATATGTTTAAATGCAATCTTTTAGCTAGACTTCTAGATTTATTTTCGTGATCGTGATGTATTTTTGGCCCTACAATGTCATGGTCGATTCGGATTAATTTGACATGTATTGACTGAGCCAAAGCAATTTGAGTAGTTATGAACTTATGATTAAACTTGGTTTTCACATGCAGAACTCGGATTACACGATATGTTAAAGAGGGGAGATTGAATTATATTATTTTTGTTTGAATGAAAAATTAATGGTTCATCCGGTGATTAGTGTATTTGCCTAATCTTTGTTGTTTTTTTTTTAACTTTTATGTATTCCAGAAAAGAAGAATTAAACGCAGCGTTTAATACTTGGTTCCACCGTTCAATAATGGGTGTAATTTAATTTATGTACGCATTAAATCTGGAACCGTTTCATTTTGCGGAAAATGATTATCGAAAATTAAAATATTTCTGGGAAATTGCAGTGTGACGATGGTCGATGTTTCCATGTGGGTTGTTATTTATTTTGGATCCACTACGACCGTTGCTATAATTACCCTGAAGCTACAACTTCGACTATACTAGTTACCGCTTTCTGATATTCTAAAATTTTATTTGGTGAGTGCACATCCAAGTTTGGTTTTATCCCACATGAACATAAGCTGGAAGATGTTATGCGTAATGCTGCACCGAGAAAACGGAGACAGTGATTTTGACAACTTTTGAATGCAGCTTGGGGAGGTCCAGGATCTGTTATCCATATCCTCTTACGAGAGTTTTAGAACCGTTGAAGAAAAAAGCAGACTCTTGGACAGTTTGGTGATTGTTGCATTTGATGCTAAGGCGTATACACATTGCTTAGAATTTCATAAGCATTGTTTGAGCCGTGTGGTTGGTTTTTTTTTCGGAGAAGCCTATTTTTATGACCCGGTCTTACTTGAAAATGATGTGGACAAGGATTGATCTCTTCTATTGCGGTTCTTAAAATGGGAACACCGTTTTGATTTCACGGATGTTATGTGATGGTACTTGCTTGCGATCATTACCTAGGACGATCAAACAACGTACACTACATAGTAGACCAAACGGATGATTTGACTTTCTCCAGCAATTACTAGTGGTTCAATGTGGTGAGCTTAATAAAACTTTATTGGGCTGGGCCTCTTGTAGTCTTTTATTTCTTTTTGCAATCCGATAAAAATTCCAGTAACCAAAAGTAGTAACTGTGGGGAACTTTTCTTTTTTCATAGGAAATAAAAAGAGTTGTCAAATTGGGCTAAATTGAAATTTCTATAAATTAATAATGTTAGAACTATATTAAAATTATAATTTTTTATTAATTTATAGAGATTATTAATTTATAAATATATTAATTGAATCATAATCTTAATTAAGAATTATATAATTATATTATTTTATAAAATTTTTAGTATATATTAATTTAAAGAGATATTATACTCTAATATTTATGTCGACGAACTTTTAAAATAAATCTAGCTAATCGTTTGATGCTTTAACCAAGGTAACCAAACGAAAACTTTTCCGTGGATACACCACCGCCTTAATCTTGTATTATTAATTTTTGATAATTAAAATGTATTAAAGTCGTATATATTTGTATTAATGCAATCTAATATTGTAGTCTCATAGAGATAAAGATTATTCTTAATCTTGTATTATTAATATTTTGATAAGATGTATTAAAGGAGTTTTTTTTTTTTTTAAACACAGTTAAAGGAGTATTATCTATCTATTTTATTTGACAAATATGAAGCAGAAGCCAAGGAATTTTTGGCCTGTCACATTATCAGTCTACATTTATTGTCATATCATTGCATAGCAGTAAAGAATTGAGATATTAAAAGCACCTTGTGCGTGTGTGTGAAAATTTATTTATTTTTGTTTATTCTATTTACCTTTTTTTTATTTGTTTTTTTTTTTTTTCATTTGTCATATTTTCGAAGGATAGCTGGCTATGTCACGAGTGTTTGTCCTGTGATGCATTGTCTACAATCTTTTTCACGTTTTATGTAAGTTGCCATATTGGTATATGTATAGATAGAGTTGTAAAACTGTTATCCACAAGAGTCGTCTTGTCCCCATCAAAGTTAAGTTAACGGCCTAGAATCAACAGTATCCTGTCTCCATTCATATTCGCTTCGAACATAATCGTATAATTGTGGCTCCACTTTCTTGAAATTATTGACAAAAAATACATCAGGTTTTGGTAACTTTTTTTTGACAACTTGTTATTTCATTGTTTGGATACGATCATACTATCACTATCACACACCAAATCCCATTAGAACTCCAGTTAAGCTAAAAATTACACTGACATTACTAAAATCTTTGCCAATCGATTATGAACCTCTCTCAATATAGATACGAAAAGACAAATAAATTGGACCAGTTCAAATAGAATCTGATCAGTTAATACGCTTTGTAGCCTATATATCGTTAAAGCTTCATAAGCATTAGACTACGAAGCATGGGTACACTATTCTGTCTATATATTGAGCGCAAAAGTCGGAGCCAAACATAATGGAGTAGTTGGAGTCAAAGACCATAATATATAGAAGTTAAGTTATGTCTTATAAATGTCAAGACCGTTTACCTTTTAACTTCAAGAATGTTTGACGTGTACGTGAAAACTATTTGTTTTTTCTTTTGTTCTTTTATCTCGTTTAAGCACATATTTTCTGAGCATAACAATATGTCGGACACAACTTTTACGTATCCATAACAAGTTAGTTTACCGGTGGTCTAGTAATTTCCACTTAGAGAAGAATTGTCCTATTGGTCCAAGTGAGGATTCGATTTTTTCTTAGTGTGAAATTATTAGTTTCATATGTGACCACGCATATATGGATTCATTACTTGCGTATCTATTTAACTATTAGAAAGAAAATTGTTTATTTGTGAATTGCATCTTCTATATCCGGAGATTGGATTTACGTCTTTAATAAATCTAGATTTAATTTTTTTTTTAATGTTAAATTACTGACGTTTGTATAAGTTGATAAATGTTTAGAAAAATAAAATATATATGTAATATTTGCCCACTGCGTTATTTTGTATTAGGTGGCCGCACATCTTGCTCTATTGTATATTGTACCACTACTATTTTACAACAAAACTGACAACAACTATAACTAGGGCTGGGCATTTTATTCGTTAAATTTGATTCGATTCGTTATTCGTCTCGATTCGATCCGAAAATTCCGGATATCCGTAAACTTTCGAATCGAAGCAAATACTAAAAATCAATATTCGTAAAAATCGAAGCAAATCACAAATATTAAAATTTTGGGAAGCGGATATCCGATCCGAG